AAAGTGTAAAATATTTGCATATACATACATATATATATATATATATATATATATATATTTTTTTTTTTTTTTTAACGAAAACAAGCTCAATGACACTCACCTTTAAGTTTTACAAACTGACCTGAAAATGAACAGTCAGGTTGAACTTTAAAGCACTATTTAGTCCAGTGGTAACATGTAACATAACACCTAAACCTGCTTTACCCTACTCTCATCTTGCTGTTTCTTTTTTTAATTATTATTTTTGTCAGTAACCTTATTTTTATTGGGTCATGACCTCTTGGTAAGTCGGTCAGCCTATTTTAGAGTAAGCACATATATCCTTGTAATATTTTGCTTCAAAGTATTAATTCTCTTTTAGGTTCTTTTTTAATCTCACATTTCACCCACTATAAAAAAAAAAAAAAAAAAAAAGGATTTATGCAATTTTATAGCATAACAAATTTACATTTACTTCTTAAGAATTTTTAACTTAAAAATAAATCAATGAAATAAACCGTACAAAATGCATATTCATTTATATAATAAAGCTTTATTTTATTTAACATACATAAAAAAACATATTTATGTATTTAGTATTCATAAAGTGCACTTACTACTTACAACTAATTATCAGGTGACCTTTATGCAATTCAAACAATAAACTTTATTTATATGAACTAAATATGCTAATTTGTATTAATTTTGAGTAGATATACATTGTTAATTCTATAAATATAAACCTCATAATTTTGTATATAAGCTATAACAAAATAGTGAATATGCACCATGGGACGTTTAGTTAACATGTTTGTGTTAAAAGGATCTAAAAAAATGTAATTGGAATTTGTTATTAAAAAATTTTTTTTTTTCTTTTTTCCTTTTCTTCTTCTGTTTTTCTGCTCTATTTACATTGCAATGTCCATAGAAACTGTAAAACTCCCTGCATAATTATAATAAAGCAATTTATATGCATGAAACAAGTGGAGCAATATGGCAATTGCCGTACTGCTACACTTGTGAAAGTAAAATCTGTTGTGCTCTTTTTGGCATCAACCCAATTATTCTTATTGCCACATTGCCAGACGGGACACTGTTAAAAAAAGGGGGAGGGAAAGGAGGGAAGAAAAAATAAATAAATAAATAAATAAAAAATTACTAAAATGTAAAAAAAATGGTAGGAATATTTTTGTGTGTACTTTCATTGCTCTTTAGCTACTCTCTCTTTATTCTTCTTTTTTCCATGGTTTTCTACCAATCGATCTATCAGATGCTATTATACCAGTGTAAGGATTAGAAACAAAGTTACTTTTTAACTGTACACATTTAATGAAATAATAAAGTATTTCTAAATTGAATCTTTGGTTATACCATTGAAATTTGTAACAATCATATACAGGACTCTAAATGCAAGGGACTTGTAGTGAATCCCATTTTTACCAAAGGATATTCGCTACTTTTACCAACATTTATCAAGTTTTAAGCTTAGTGTGTGAAAGGGGCCCACTCTCAAATGGAGAACTTATCAAAAAGCTCTTCCTCATAATAATTCAGATATTCTTGCAATTACATTTTAAACAATATATTGCCTGGCCTTCAGAGGTTGTAGTTAGAAAGATAATAAATTAAAAGCTTAACTTTATAGAGGAAGAAATGTGATAACTGTCAGAAGCCTGGCTTTAGTGTTTTGGATCTGCTATACTGGGATTATTCCCACATCCTGACAAATCAGTAGCTGAAAGGTCTTGACGGGATGCACCAATTTTGTTTGTAGAGATTTGGGATAAGATGCTCCTAAATGGCCTGAAAAATATGCTGGCGAAAATGTGAAGGTAATGTCAAAAGGAAATAAATGGTTGCATACTGAATCCCAGACAATTTAATGGAAAAAAAGGATAAAACACTTTTTGTTAAATTTAGAATTTAAGCTCATCCTGTGTGTTATTTCCTCAAAACAAGAACTTAAGACTTAAACAAACTTGTAATTTTGTATGCATAGAGTGTAAACAAAATGAAATTTCGATGCAAACAGCTTTTCAACAGTGAATGAGCAGCTTACAGCAGTAAGCTGCTCATTTATAAACTGCAGAATCTAGTTTAAGTCAAATAACAGCATCATGTGGGTTCAGTTATAAAAAAAAGTGATTATCATCAGCCTAGCATATTCATAAAGGAATGTCTTACCTCATCAAAATATTACCCAAATAAGCCATGTGGGCCAAATCAAGAATCTGGTGGAACATCATATCTAATAATGGTGAATTTGTGAAGGGAACAAGTAGGTGCACATTTAGTAATTAGATCCCACTGCCAAGCTCCGTGTTCCAGAATTTTTAAGTACTGTCTGAACCAGTAAGGAAACCATCTAACATTGCAATCCTGTTATTGGAAAACAGTACAGCCTCTTACTGCGGGCGAATGGCTTCTGTCCTTAAGAGACATAATTTAGCTGGAACTCTTTGCCATCTGATTTTATGGGGCAAAGCCTGAAAACATTACATCCTGGTCCAACTTAATAGCTTCATTATTACTTTATTAGATCTTGCAATTTAATTTTCTAATGTAACATCTGATATCAGTCTAGATGGAAATGAAAATGTGTTCTAGGAGTAGATCAAATTATGATTTATTTTTACCCTGTAAGATTTTGTAATGCTTGTAGCCCTAATGTATCTACTGCTATTTTTTTTAATAAAGGAAATTTTCTTGTATTGTGTTTTGGCAATTATTAGCTGCTATCATCCATCATGGAGAACACCTTTCACCCTCTGCACTAGACTGTAGAGGAGCTGAGCAGCTCCTTTAGTGAAAGACTTTTACCACCTGTTTGTAAAAAGGAGGTCATTCATCCCTGCTGCCACCAGACTCTACAATGTGACACTATAATGGCAACAACTTGCGCAGTGTATAATGTGCAATTACTATTTAATACCCAGTGCAATAGCTATATATATATATATATATATATGGATGCACTGTATATACGGTATACATGTACATGCCCCTCTTCCTCCTTTTGGCACCTGCTTCTTATTGACTATTGAGCCGATGTAACGAATACATTTTTCCACTGTCAGATCAATCAATCAAATAACGTGTACTATGTACTTAAAATGCTAATACAGTCAACTTAACTTACTTACAAAGTTATTAATAGAAAAATCTACTAAAGCTGTGATTCACTCCAAAAGTTGGATAGAAAACCTTTAGACTTTTTATTAAAAAACAAAAAAATCACAACTTTTTCTGAGGGTTTTGAAAACATGGAGATGGATAGGAAGATTTGTGTTTTACTGGACAAACATTAAGATAGAGAAGCTTTTTTTTGTGGTTTAATTACAGCTAACCTGATTGCCAAAGTATTTAAAATAGGCAGACTGATTTGCACATGACCACTAGACGAAGTTAGAAATTTGGTCTGATATTGGATAGTAGAGACAGATCTTGGCTTTACGAAAGAGGCCACTTGGATTATTCCAAGAGGTCACTGAAAACTCATTCAAGAGGCCCCAAAATACTCAAGAATGTCTAAAGTGCTGTAGCCCTCCCTTGTCTCAGAATCCATAGTTGAATAATAACAAATACACTCTGTCTTATATAGTCCTGTTTTTTTATGTCATTTATTTTATTCTAATTTTCTAAATCCGTTTTCAATTCTATGTAACCCTAAAAACAAAAATGTATAAACGACAAGACTAATTGAGATGCTTGCATCCTGTAACATCTATCAGCAAATCCTGAAAAAAATAAATGAAATAAAAATAGAAATGTACTGCCATAAGTACATTTCACTTTAATAATTCATAGCACAATAGCAGGTCCAACTCGAAATACTTGAAACAAAATAAACCAAAATTAAGATGTTAGTGTGGTCTACTCAAATTATTATTTTTTTTAATTTAAATCATCTGAACTACTATGCCATGACCTCAGATGAGTCATCAATGCTAAAAACCCTTCATTGTAGCACATTTTAAACTATTTAATAAAGAAGAGTGGGTCTGAATCCCATCACATTAATGTAAAAAACAAAATACTTTGGTTATTCTAAAGTAAGGCAATTTATTACATGGCCTAATTCTGTAGCACTGTACATTAGGTGAAAAAGAAAATACAACATAGTGGCATAAAGGCATTCAATCCAGTTTATCTATATAGCACCAATTTAATTCAAAAATACTTTATGAACTCCAAAGGGAAATTAAATAATTCATAACATATGTAATCTCAAGACACTCTACAAAGACAATTCAACTAGCTCATACAGCCAGATTGGTTAAAATTTTCTGTGTAAGGAAAAACAGGTGATTGCATTTACTAATTAACTCTTCACCAATCCCTTACACCAAGCAGGCTTGGAGCGACAATGGAGAGAATGATTCCCTTTCAACAGGAAAAAAAACCTCCAGCAGAGCCAGGCTCAGTGTGAGCGGCCATCTGCCAAGCAGACATACAGAGGGAAGCAAAGATAGAAAAGGCTACTGTTTTTTTTTTAATATTATATTTATTGAATTTTTTGCAACACAGAACAAGTGGCAGTAGTACACTCAACATAAGATTCACATTTAATGACTTAATCCCCGAAATTAGCAAACATAGGTATAAAATAACAGATAGAAAAAAGCAATCTGCACCATTCTTCCAATTTGCTTCATATTCTTTCAGAAATGTGGCCAATGGTGACCATGACTCCTCAAGATGTACTCCCTTTCCTCTGACAATAAAAAGTCTGTCCAGAGCCATTCATGATGCCATTTCCTTCATCCATATATAGTTTGAGGGTATAACCACCTTTCTCTGGTACAGTGATATCAATCTCCTGGCCTGCAAGAGTCCAAAGTCGATCGATTTTAACTGAAGTGAGAAAAGTGGTGAGAACAGCGGAGAGGATAATCGGGGCTCCTCTTCCCTCCATTAAAGACATTTCATCCCAGCGCTGCATGTCCCGAGCCCGAAACATTATAACTGACCCCTCACACCCCCACCATGGACTGTTCTTCCTGCTGCCCTCTGGGAAGAGACTTCGAAGCATCCGATGCAGGTCCAGCAGATTCCAGAATAGTTTTTTTCCCCACTGCCATTAGTCTGCTGAATGTTGCATAAAATGGGGTTTATAAAAAAAAAAAAAACCCTGAACGTTGGAAACTGTAAATCATACAGTCTTTTTGATCACTGCTGCACTTTAAAAATGAAAATCTATTGAGAGCTGCACTGAACAAAATTTATTTATTTTTGTACACACTCTAAATAAAATAAAATCTGTCTAAGTCTAAGTTCTTTGGATAAATACCTAAAACACTAATTTTTGTATCAGCAGGTACCTTCACTCCAACGATCTTTGACAATGTTTACATAACTGAATTACAGTAATGCTGTAGTTTTGGGCACACAGTGAAAAAAAAGTACCTTTTCCAACCAAACACTTACTACAACTATTTGGGATGTCATGTGACCAGCGATTCAGTTTGACTGGATTTATGTAAAATCTCATCAACCACTTATATTCACGAGCCTCATTCTCATATTATAAATGAGATCTACAAAATCACTCTTGATTTCTATCATGGAGGAGATTCGTGTTGCAGTTCTTTTTCCCCCCCCTAGATGGAGCCACAGTGTGGGAAATTCAGATGCGCTGTAACTAATAAACGCCCCTGAACTGTCTCGACTTTAAGTGGCCGGTTGGCAACAACTAAAGGCAACCTGACAAGTGATTGAAACCCTCCGAGGGAAACCGAAAGGCCAACCTTGAGTGATCTCAACACCTCGCATGAACTTTTTTTTATTTTGGTTAAGTCTCCTCTAATCTATTCACATACTTTGGTTATGCGCCTGCAACTTCGGGGTTTATTCAAATGTTCGCCAGTCTGAAGCCGTGGCATGCGCTCATCTGATCTCGAAAGGTAGGATTTGGTCTCGCTTCTTCATAAATCATCTCCTGTCGTGATTAGCTGCGTGGGAGCGCATGAATACACGCAGTGTTGAACTGCGTCGCACCGGGCGTGTGTTTACTCATCATGAGAACACGTTATGGCAGGACATCAGATAATTACAGGGCTGCTGGGGATCGGTTTGGGGACTAAAGTAGAGCAGAACCGGTTGCCAACATACGCACCTGCAGAGCTGTGTTTTAGCCAGAGGCTTGAAGTCTTCAAGTATGTCTGTCTCTGTGCGTCTGTCACCCCCTCCTCTCCTTTACGCACAAACACACCCTCTCCTACCCCCTGAATGTGCGCTTTATGAGAATATACCAGCTAGGTTGATGGAGGCAGTTGAGTTGATTCCAACACTAAGCCTCCTGTCTACTCTTGTTTTCAGATAATCAACCAGGAAGTCAGAAAGAAAAATCAAATGAGCAAAGAATGTGGAAACTTTGGTGGCGTTAGCCTCATGATCCGAGGAATAGACCTGTATTTAAACTTAACTTTTCAAATCCGTGAATGTATTTATCCTGCAGCCTCACATGCCAAAAAGCTTAGGCAGAAAAACAAAAAACTCAGTGTTTTCCTTTTTCCCTGTAGGCAGTATTTAGTGCCCAGCTTTCTCACAAGGGCAGTTTTATGTGCAGGGAAGGAGGCATGGAAAAGAAGACCTTTCCTTTTGAGCTCACAGATTTGCAGTAATTACAGAATCACTTCCATATGTGGCTCTCTGGCTGCCTTCTTGCTGCCCCCACCACCCCTCTCTACTCTGCTGTTCTCTCTTTTTCCCTCTCCCCACTTTTTTTTTTCATTTGCCTTCTCCCCCATCGCTCACTTCTTACTTTTTAAAACTTTCCTTTCATACTTCCTGAGTACAATTCTATTAAACCACAAAGTAAGAAAAGTTTCTGATAATCAGAACATCCTGCCACTTTTGGCAGCTCATTTTGGTGATTCAATCAGTCCACACTTGGTAAAAAACAAAACACAGTGCTCTTCTGCTGGAGAGAAATACTGACATGGAGGGCATGGAGGACATTGAGTTTACATTCAAATAGGAAAAGAATACACATATACATATAGATGTATAGAAATTAAAACTCAGAGAAGAATCAGAGCGCCACGAAATGAGCATAAAGGAAAAATAAGGGAGAGAAAATGAGGCAGAGGAGAGGGTGGGCTGGAGTAATGCTTTTTGACAGAGGTGGGTTCAAGATGGGTTCATGGTGACATCATGGCTGATTTTTTTTTTTTTTTGAGGAGAGTATAGACAGGAGAGCCGTTCACCTTTCATTAGACACACATGTTGGTTGGGGAAAGCACTCTTTGTTGGCACACTCGCTGGTAGCTGTGTGGAACTTTTTATTTCCTCTTCTCCCTGTAGTTTCATATACAGCTTTTGGCTCTCAGTTTCACTGTTTCCAGCTCTATGTTCATTTGTTGTTCTTAGAGTCATAGTATATGCCTTTGGTCCCTAACCCACACATTGCTCTCTTCTTTTTTTTCTGGGCATGCATAAGTCATTTTTCCTTTGAGTGGTATTTATACTTGAAAGCTGTTGGACTCTAAATGAGCAAACTTTGCCAGGCTGAATGAATGCCTCTTTCATTTCACAGGATGTGTATGTAAGACTCTAACCCAAGAAAGTATAGATTTGTGTGTGGGTTCATGTGTGTCTACTCTCAGCAGCCTTCACATGACATCAATCTGGATGTGGAGAAATGGTGATCTCATTATGGGCATCTTGTTGCTGATTGCAGCCTGCCATCAACGGCTTCATTTACTAAGCCTCATTCATTTTGTCATCCCTTCTTTTTACACCTATTTTTCCCACGTTCCCCCTCGCCATCCCAGTCAGACTTGCAAACATACCGAACCACCAAGGCTGCACTTAAGACTTTAAATATGATAACATATTTTTTTATGTAATTAGGCCTGCATTTTAATAGCCATGTAAAGCCTGTTAATTAAAACTGGCTCAAACAAACTTTCTGAAAAACACTGACATGAAGAAACCATCATGTCATCCAGTCAGGACTGAAAACATTATGCTTATAGTTCAGGGGTGGGCAATTCCAATTAATGAGGGCTGGTGTCCCACGTTTAGATGAGTCCTTGTTCCTCTATAGCTGAATTAAATAGCTCTTTTGTATACAGTCAATTTCTCCAGGGTCCTCTTAATTATCTAATTACTTGAATAAGGTGTGTTGGACCAAGGACAGATCCAAAGGATGCAGCATACCGGCCCAAAGGAAATGGAATTGCCCAGCCCTTGTGGGTTGTCCATAAAGGTCAGTTGTGTGAACAAGAACCATGTGTGCGGTGTTCTTCAAGGCACTTTATACGGGCCACTTTTATTTAGTTTTCAAATGTTTCTCCTTGCTCAAAACATGGATCATCATGCATGTAACAGTTTAGTGCAGCCACTGAGTCAGGCATCACATATTATCAATCAGTCAATGAGTTAGAATTTCCTCTAAGTCATTTAGGGCTGAAAAAATGTATCTGATTAATCGGGATTAATCGATTTAGATAACTGTCAACTAATTTAGTAATTGATTCATCTTTAACTGGAGTGTAGAGACTCTAACACATGCCCTCAACTGACAGAGAAACCCAATTAGAGCAGTAATTATACAAAAAAAACAAAATCTAAAGATATTTTGCATTTAAGGTAAAAAGTTATCATCCATCAATATGCTCTATCTAGAACTGCTAGTTTCACCTGGTTTTATTCTGTAACAGATCCTCTTTAAGGAACCTTTTCCTATCTGATTATTAATCGATTAATTGAAAAAAATAGTCAATGGAATACTCAATTAGCAAAATAACCGTTATTTGCAGCCATAAAGTCAGTACAGAAGAGATAGAAGTCAGTTTTTGGTCCAGGTTTACAATTTAACCGGACTTAACAAAACAACAAAAAACATAGTATGCAAAAAGTTTGGTGTTATTCAAGATTTTTACAACTACATCAGATTTATCATTAAATCCACAATGGAACAATCTTCTTTTTTTAAAATAGTAATGTTTTCTATATCTCTGCACTTTCTTTTTTCTTTTTTCCTTGCAAAAAAGGGATCATAGCAATCTTCTTGTGTATAAATGGCATTATACAAACAAACATGCCTTGCCTTACCAGAGCCCCCCCCCACACCTCTTAACCCGTCCTTCCTCCTGCCTCTCCATCTCTCTGTAACCCCTGTAACCCCACTTCCTTACTCTCTGCTGTGCCCCCTCTTTTCCTCTCTCCTTCCTTCATTTTCTCCTCATCCTCTGCCAGTGAGCCTCGGGCTTCCATACTCCGCTGCCCTGTGAATGCAAATCCAATGACTCTAAAGTGGAAACACACGACTGAATAAGATTTTGCCATGAATATTTCATATCTTTTTAAACATACCCAGAGAAGAGAAACTGCGAGGCTGAGTGCTTTACAATGAGTTTTGCTGTGGCACTTCATATGAGGGACATTGTGCTTGTATTGGTGTCAGGGCCACAAGTTATGATGTCATCGGTTAAAGTTAATGATACGAGAACGGCAGGGGTCGTAGGCCATGTTTCCAGTGGTGCCCACATACAGAGGGAGAAAGAGATAGCAGGACCCTGATCTGTCTTCATTATCCCCCCACTCTGCTGTCTCCCAGACACAATGATCATAAATCTCAGCCCCAAGCACACTTCACTGACACTGAAACACAAACACTAGTAACCTCTGACCTTCTCACTGCTACTGCCCGTGCACACTCATCCATGCACGCCAAACACATCTTACTGCTGCAGCCGTGTATACTGGAGAATGACAGCAGTTCTCCCTTACTGTCTTACCTTCAACATGAGTGCAGCGAGGACACTGTACCCAAACACAAATATAACAACTTTCATACACCTGATTTAACATTTTGGCACAGATATACTGTCTTAGCCTGGGGGGCCCCACAGCGAGTTGCAATCCACACCTCACTGTTATATCACTCTTGTGCTGGGTTAGTTTTTGAACTAAAGCCGTATTTACCTTCTTGTTTCCTATTACACAACTGCTGATTTAGCACTGCTATGTAAACAGTTAAGGGATTTCTATTAGCCTTAGTGACCTTATAAGCAGCACAAATCAAATGTAAACCAGATAAGAATCAGCTGGAGGGCTTTTTTTCTCCCCATATGGCTCTGATCTGTTCTTCCTGAATCTAAGGTTCAAGCCAGAAGGCAACAGTGCTTAATGCTGCTTATTCAGTTTTTTTCAACCTGATTTTGTCCTGTCATATCCACACAAAAAATATTCACAGGGGCTGATAAGTTAGAGGCTGTAACAGCCTTTAAGATAAAACAACAAATAAGAGTATGATGAAAGACTTGTTTTTGTTTGTGGAAACTTGGACTCATCAAAGAAAAAATGTCATTTTGGGCTTTTACTGGCTGAAATGTTTTTGTTTTTTCCTTAAGCTGAAGGGCACACGAGTTGAAATCTGTTGCTGATTTACTTTAATTTGAATAGTATGACGACTGAACAGACAGGCCCAAATATTTGGTTACATGCTACTAAACAGGCTGTAAGAGAATGTACACTCTTTTCGGAGCCATCGGAACTTATGAGTTATTTTTCTGGTTTGATGTTTTAGCTCTTTCTAGATGGAGTGAGCAGCATTCATTTCAACAGATTGTTTTTCTAAAACTGTTTAGGCTTCTATGAGCATCTTTAGTTTTTTATAATAGGGATTTTCATTGACAGTGTAACACCTGAGTTGTTGTGTGTTGGTACACTAGTGCTCCAGTTGCTTTCAGTTCAATGGACAGAATATAATTCAACTTTATTGTCATTACCCTGTCACACGTAGAGAGCAATGAAATTAACTCTCTGCATTTAACCCATCCCTTTTGGGGAGCAGGGGGCTGCCATTGTGGGTGCCCAGGGAGCAGTGTGGGTTAAGGGTCTTGCTCAGGGACCCAGACTGGCCGTGGGAGTGGTGCTTGAACTCAGAACCTCT